CCTCGGACATGGGCGCGCACGGGAAGAGAGAGAGAGAGAGAGAGAAAACAAAAAAAAACTATCGGGAAGGAAGCGGGCGCGATCCTCGGGAGGAACGCGCCGACATGGGCGTCGACGCTTATGGGCGTGGACTGATTCGCACGCAGACTCATTCACAATCAGACTCACTCGCGCTCAGTCTCTCGCACGCAGACCTATCGTCTTCGCTCGCGCCGCGTGCCCCGCCACGCATCTCGGCGCGCCCCTCGCACGGTTCGTGGCCGCATAGAGAGCGCGGTCAAAGATGAGATTCAGAATTGCGGTATTCACAACTGCGCATGGTTGGGTCCTTCGCCAAGATAATTCCGCCCACCCCTGCAGTGTCATAGTTGCCGCGCGCCCGTCTAGTCGTAGCGATTGGGAATGTGTTGGTGTGTTCGTGGCCAAGGGGAGTTATCTGGGAGACGCTCGATGGCTATTCGGGGCACTCTTGGGACGAACTGGGCCGTGGACCAGATGCCTCTCTGGGAGGCTTCTTGGGGTCACTTCGGAACCCCCTCGGGAGCTCCTTTCGTTGCTTCTTCCTCGATCTTCTTTTTCCCAACCATCATGTGGTGTTGGGTTCTCGTGTTGAAGAGACAGCCCCCCGCGTCTCCTCCTTCTTCCTTCCTTCCTCCTCCCTCCTCCTCCCTCCTTGCGTTTCACCCACCCAGTACAACGTTTTGTGGCCCCGTAGGGAGCTCCTTTGAAGGCCCCAGTGCCACCGCCCGCATGCGTCACCCACATCAATTCCGGCACACCACTCACACGTTTCGTGGCCCATTGGGAGCTGCAACGAAGGCCTCAGTGCCACCGCCCGCATGCGCCACCCACACCTAATTCGTCACACCCCTCACACGTTTCGCGGCCCCGTAGGGAGCTCCACCGAAGGCCCCAGTGCCACTGCCCGCATGCAACACCCACACTCATTTCGTCACACCCCTCACACGTTTCGTGGCCCCATAGGGAGCTCCACCGAAGGCCCCAATGCCACCGCCCGCATGCGTCACCCACGCACATTCGCCACACCCCTCACACGCGTCGTAGCCCCATAGGAAGCTCCAACGAAGGCCACGGTGCCACCGCCCGTATGCGTCACCCACACCCATTTCGGCACACCCCTCACACGTTTCGTGGCCTCATAGGGAGCTCCACCGAAGGCCCCAGTGCCACCGCCCGCATGCGTCACCCACACCGATGTCGGCACACCCCTCAAACGTTTGGTGGCCCCATGAGGGGGGCTCCTTTGAAGGCCCCAGTGCCACCGCCCGCATGCGTCACCCACACCCATGTCGGCACACCCCTCACACGTTTCGTGGCCCCATAAGGAGCTGCACCGAAGGCCCCAGTGCCACCGCCCTCATGCGTCACCCACACCCATTTCGGCACACCCTCACACGTTTCGTCGCCCCATAGGGATCTCCACTGAAGGCCCCAATGCCACCGCCTGAATGCGTCACCCACGCACATTCCGGCACACCCCTCACGCGTTTCGTGGCCTCATAGGGAGCTCCACCGAAGGCTCCAGTGCCAACGCCCGCATGCGTCAACCACATACATTTCGGCACACCCCTCACACGTTTCGTGGCCCCATAGGGAGCTCTACCGAAGGCCCCAGTGCCACTGCCAGCGTGCAACACCCACACCCATTTCGACACAGCCCTCACACGTTCCGTGGCCCCACAGGGAGCTCCATCGAAGGCCCCAGTGCCACCGCCCGCATGCACCACCCACACCAATTTCGTCACACCCTCACACATTTCGTGGCCCCATATGGAGCTCCAGCGAAGGCCACGGTGCCACCGCCCGTATGCGTCACCAACGCCCATTCTGGCACACCTCTCACGCGTTTCGTAGTCCCATAAGGAGCTCCACCGAAGGCGCCAGTGGGACCGCCCGCATGCGTCACCCACACCCATTTCGGCACACTCCTCACACGTTTCGTGGCCCCTTTCAGTGCCACCGCCGTTATCGCCATTGTCATCGTCACAACCATTTCGGCACACCCCTCAGACGTTTCGTGGCCTCACAGGGAGCTCCACCGACGGCCCCTGTGCCACCGCCCGCATGCGTCACCCACATCCATGACGGCACACCTCTCACACGTGTCGTAGCCCCATAGGGAGCTCCACCGAAGGCCCCAGTGCCACCGCCCGCATGCGTCACGCAAGCCCATTTCGTCACACCCCTCACACGTTTCGTGGCCCCATAGGGAGCTCCACCGAAGGCCCCAATGCCACCGCCCGCATGCGTCACCCACACCCATGTCGGCACACCCCTCACACGTGTCGTAGCCCCATAAGGAGCTCTACCGAAAGCCCCAGTGCCACCGCCCGCATGCGTCACGCACACCCATTTCGGAACACCCCTTACACGTTTAGTGTCTCCACAGGAAGGTTCACCGAAGGCCCCAACGCCACGGCCCGCATGCGTCACGCACACCAATTTCGGCACTTCCCTCACACGTTTCGTCGCCCCTTAGGGAGCTCCACTGAAGGCCCCAATGCCACTGCCCGCATGCGTCACGCACACCCATTTCGGCACACCCCTCACACGTTTCGTGGCCTCATAGGGAGCTCCAACGAAGGCCACGGTGCCACCGCCCGTATGCGTCACCCACACCCATTTCGGCACACCCCTCACACGCTTCGTGGCCTCATAGGGAGCTCCACCAAAGGCTCCAGTGCCAACGCCCGCATGCGTCACCCACATACATTTCGGCACACCCCTCACACGCTTCGTGGCCCCATAGGGAGCTCCAACGAAGGCCTCGGTGCCACCGTCCGCACGCGTCACCCACGCCAATTCCAGCACACCCCTCACACGTTTCGTGGCCCCATAGGGAGCTCCACCGAAGGCCCCAATGCCACCGCCCGCATGCGCCACCCACACCGATGTCGGCACACCCCTCAAACGTTTGGTGGCCCCATGAGGGGAGCTCCACCGAAGGCCCCAGTGCCACCGCCCGCATGCGTCACCCACACCCATGTCGGCACACCCTTCACACGTTTCGTGGCCCCATATGGAGCTCCACCGACGGCCCCTGTGCCACCGCCCGCATGCGTCACCCACATACATTTCGGCACACCCCTCACACGTTTCGTGGCCCCATAGAGAGCTCTACCGAAAGCCCCAGTGCCACTGCCCGCATGCACCACCCACACCAATTTCGTCACACCCTCACACATTTCGTGGCCCGATATGGAGCTCCAGCGAAGGCCACGGTGCCACCGCCCGTATGCGTCACCAACGCCCATTCTGGCACACCTCTCACGCGTTTCGTAGTCCCATAAGGAGCTCCACCGAAGGCGCCAATCACACTGCCCGCATGCGTCACCCACACCCATGTCGGCACACTCCTCACACGTTTCGTGGCCCCTTTCAGTGCCACCGCCGTTATCGCCATTGTCATCGTCACAACCATTTCGGCACACCCCTCACACGTTTCGTGGCCCAAGAGGAGCTCCACCGAAGGCCCCTGTGCCACCGCCCGTATGCGTCACGCAAGCCCATTTCGTCACACCCCTCACGCGTTTCGTGGCCCCATAGGGAGCTCCACCGAAGGCCCCAGTGCCACCGCCCGCATGCACCACCCACACCAATTTCGTCACACCCTCACACATTTCGTGGCCCCATATGGAGCTCCAACGAAGGCCACGGTGCCACCGCCCGCATGCGTCACCAACGCCCATTCTGGCACACCTCTCACGCGTTTCGTAGTCCCATAAGGAGCTCCACCGAAGGCGCCAATCACACTGCCCGCATGCGTCACCCACACCCATTTCGGCACACCCCTCACACGTTTCGTGGCCAAAGAGGAGCTCCACCGAAGGCCCCTGTGCCACCGCCCGTATGCGTCACGCAAGCCCATTTCGTCACACCCCTCACGCGTTTCGTGGCCCCATAGGGAGCTCCACCGAAGGCCCCAGTGCCACCGCCCGCATGCGTCACCCACATACATTTCGGCACACCCCTCACACGTGTCGTAGCCCCATAGGGAGCTCTACCGAAAGCCCCAGTGCCACCGCCCGCATGCGTCACGCACACCCATTTCGGAACACCCCTCACACGTTTAGTGTCTCCACAAGGAGGTTCACCGAAGGCCCCAGCGCCACCGGCCGCATGCGTCACGCACACCAATTTCGGCACACCCCTCACACGCTTCGTCGCCCCATAGGGTTCTCCACTGAAGGCCCCAATGCCACCGCCCGCATGCGTCACGCACACCCAGTGAGGCACACCCCTCACACGTTTCGTGGCCCCACAGGGAGCTCCACCGAAGGCGCCAGTGGCTGCGTTCGCATGCGTCCACCGTACCCGTTTCGGCACACCTATCACACGTTTCGCGGCACTACAGCGAGCTCCACCGACGGCCCCAATGGCTGCGTTCGCATGCGCCCACCGCACCTATTTCGGCACACCTCTCACGCGTTTCGTGGCCCCATCGGGAATTCCACTGACAGCACCAGTGGCTGCTTTCGCATGCGCCCACCAGACAAAGTGTGGCACACCGCTCACACGTTTCGTGGCTCTATAGGGAGCTCGTCCGAATGCGGTGCATACGACGACGGTACTCACAACTGCATATGGCTGGGTCCTTCGCCATGCTAATTTTTGCAGCCTCCTCCTGCTCGTGCGGCGAGACGAGGGGAAGGTAGTGTTTTCTTCTTCCAGCTTTTCCCCCCCGCCTTGGCGCGCTGCGCGCGCCAAAATTGGGGGTCCAAAACAAATCCAAGTAGTCCGCGCGCACCTCCGAAACACTAGGATCATGCCGCTTTTTTCGGCCACACGCAGGAGTGATCCTGGGTAAGAGTGGCCTTTGGTGCGCGGCTTTTGGGGAGACGCGGGGGGACCAACACACAAGCGCGCAAGACGCCACCATCGCACCGGGTTCGGCGATCGGGGGACCCCAGTGGGCGCGCACCAGAGGTCACTCCGGCGAAGGGCCACTCTCACGTCCAGCCGATTCTTGCGGTTCGATCCTCGGCGTCGCTGAGGAGATCGCTGATGCTCTTGCTGGCGGGCGAGCCCATGGCGGCCGCCAGGGCCGCCCTTGTGCTCGAGGGCGGCGCGGGGCCCGCGGGCGTGCCGAGGCCGGCGGGCGGCCCGTGGACGGCCACGGGGCTGTCGGTGAGCCCGGGCACGGTGGAGGGGTCCACGATGTGGATGCCGCCGGGGATGGCCCTGGCGGGTGCCCGTGCGGTACAGTCAGCCCGCACGTTGAGGATGCGCGGTGAGGATGCCAGGGCCTTGAGGGGCCATGCTGACGTTTTCCGAACGAGGTTGGCCAGCGATAGCGGCCCAGGATGGGCCGAGGAGGCAAGGATGCAAGGGTACCACTGGGAAGGCTGCCCATCCTTACTATGCGGGTTGACTGTAGACACATACACCCGCACTTATTACTAAGAGAACATTGGCCTAGGAAAACAGGCTCTTCAAAGGTCGCTTTCTTAATGCATCGCGCAGGTCTGCCCTGGGGTGAAAAGACGACAGAACACATCGAGCAACATCTCCACAGGTCTACCCTGGGATCCAAATGTTCGAAAGAGCGTGTTCTACCGCTGCTGGCGGAAAACCGAGGGGGGGTGTCACTACCGGTTCGAACCCCTCCACCTCCCCCCCCCCCTCGAAAACCGGGGGGGGTCACTACCGGTTCGAACCCCCCCCCCTCGAAAACCGGGGGGGGGTGCGGACAGTGGTGGGGACGGTGGTGGTGGGGACAGTGGTGAGGGGACAGCGGGGCAGACAGTGGTGGGGACAGTGGGACAGTGGTGGGGACGGTAGTGGTGGGGACAGTGGCGGGGACAGTGGTGGGAACAGTGGGGACAGTGGGACAGACAGTGGGGACGGTGGTGGTGGGGACAGTGGTGTGGGGACAGTGGGAATGTGGTGGAAAAAGTGGGACAGTGGAGGGTACAGTGGTGGTGGGGACAGTGGTGAAGGCGGTGGCGAGGACGGCGGTGGGACAATGTGACAGAGGTACAGTGGGGACAGTGGTGGGGACAGTGGGGACAGTGGTGGGAACAGTGGGACAGCTCAGTGGGACAGCGGAGGGAGTCAGTGGGACAGTGGGGATAGTCGGGCAGTGGTTGGGGCCGTGGAGAACGTGTGGAACCGTGGTAGTGGGGACACGTGGTGGGGACAGTGGGGAACCCAGGGTGAGGTGGTGGGGACTGACGGTGGTGGAACCAGTGGGGACAGTGGTGGTGAGGACAGTGGTGCTGGGAACAACAGTGGGGGATGTGGTGCGGACGGTGGTAGGGACCGGGAGTTGTATACTGGCGGTGAGGGGGGGTGGGTGGGCAGGGGTTCGAATGGTAGTGACCCCCCTCTGGTTTTCGAAGGGGGGGTGGGGTGGGGTTCGAACCGGTAGTGACCCCCCCCGGTTTTCGAGGGGGAGGGGGGAGGGGGTAGGGGAGGGAGGGGGTTTTGCCGAGGGAGGGGAGGGGGGGGGGATCCAGCAGGGGGGGGGGATTTTCGGAGGGGGGGGGGGGACCCCCGGGTTCGGGAGGAAAAGGGGGGGAATTTTCCACAGTAAAGCGGCCGTGTATCACGCTCTCTCATCTCTGCTACGACAACTCAGACTCCGATCCTGAAGCGGCTGTGCGTTGAAGAAGCCTCATGGGTGTGAGACGAGGAATCGGCGGTGGACAAACCTCCCTTTAATAGACCTCCCCTTAGTGAAAACGGCCTGGGACCGAAACCGGCGGACCTGGACCCGCAAAAATGACGGCCGCGACGCCCTCTCGCGAAACGAAAACGGCCAATTCCTTAATCGACGTGTCAGCGTAGGAGGTCTGTCCACCCCCGAAGGAATCTTGCCCTAGGAAACGTTTGGGCACCTTCTTCGCCGATTCTCGAGGGTCCTGAGGTCGAAGGTGCGCCATAGCTTTCGGTCGGGCGTGTCCTACAATAGGCGGACTGTGGACGACGAATAAACAATAGTCAACAAATACCCCCCCAAATACCCCAAAATAATCAAAACATCGTCCTCCGAGTACTTATTCGCCGGCCCAACGGGCCAGGGCGTGCTAAGATCTCCGGTAACTGGTTAACAGTATTAACAGTATTTCTAGTTCGCGCGCGCGGGGCGGCCCCTGGGGGGGCGAAAAGTCCCGACCGCCGCCCGAACCAAGTCTACTCAGAGATGGTTTTCCTTCCGGCCTCTCAGGCTCCCCAGAGCGCGCTCAGAGTGCCCCAAGAGGCCCCCAAGACTGCCCAAGAGGCCCCCGAGACGCCCAAAGAGCGCTCGAAGACGCCGAAGATGACCCCAAGACGGCCCAAAAGGCCCCCAAGACAGCCCAAGAGGCCTCCAAGACGCCCCAAGAGCCTTCCAAGAGGCCTCCGAAGAGAGCCCCAAGAGGCCAAAATCGTTGATTCTCATTGTTTTTTTCGATGTTTTTTGTGTTCTGTGTTTTTCGGCTTCCGGACGCTCCAAGACGGCCCAAGAGGCCCCCAAGACCGCTCCAAGACGGCCCACGAAGCTCCCAAGACGGCGCCGAAACGACCCAAGAGAGCCCTCAATACGGCCCAAGTGCCGCCCAAGACGGACCAAGAGGCCCCAAGACGGGCCCAAGAGGGACTCAGGAGGGATACCGAGAACTCAAAAATGGAGCCCTCCGTCCCAGAAGGCGCCCAGGAGGTCCCAAAGAGGCCCCAAGAGGCCTCCAAGAGGCCCCAAGATGTCGCCAAGAGGCCCCAGGAGACTCCCAGGAGGCCCAAAAGAAGCCCCAGAAGGCTTCAAACATGTCTCCCAGGCGCCCCCGAACGGCCTCTCAACAGACCCCAAGAGGCCCCCCAAAGAAGCATCTTGACGACGACTCTATTTCGCCCCATCGAGAGACGACCCCCAGGGAACTGCTTCACCATCAAAACTCCCCACGCAACGCGTCCGAACGACACCCGCCCCCAAGAGCGCAACATGGGCAACGAACACACAGACAAAAACCAGCGATGCCATATCACGGGCCGGCGGAATGAGCGAAGCGATTCAATAATCAAAACATCGTCCTCCGAGTACTTTTCGGACTATCTTTGAAGATTCCCCCCGTAGATGAAGGACAGGCCCGACTTCACCACAGCTTCTGCGGGCCTCTGGGGTCATCGGGGGACAAACAGTTTTCGCGCGGCACCTGGCGGCAGGCCGACTTTTTTCTTTGACACTCCTGCTGTGAGAGATGCCCAAAAGCTGCGTGCTCCAGGTCTCGGAAAAATAGCGAACACTCACGCCACATTCATCTGTCAACGCCTCCCCCTCCCCCCACTGTTCAAAATTGGCGGTGGGTCCGATGAGTTGCACCTCGACCGCAGCCTCTCCCGCGCGTGCTAATTTTGACTTTTGGGGCTGGGGGGAATGTTCAATAATTGTTTCCCTCTACCGTCTGAGCGTGCTCTTCCCCTCCTCCGCGCGCTCCCCTCCCTCCCGCCGCCCGCCGTGCCCCAGTGCGGCGACGTGCCTCTTGCCATCAGCACCAAAAACGCAACCTCGACTTCCCCTCGGCTTTCCCGTCCAAGATGGCTCCACGAGGGCTCCAAAGTGGCGCAGGAGCCATCCCAAACGCGCAATCCGGTTTCCAAGACGGCCCTGCAACGCCCTGAGGCGGGCCCCAAGGCGGCCCAGAGAGGCCACCAAAGCGACTCCTAACTGCGTGGGACGGGTCAGGGACGCCCTAAGACGACCAAAGAGGCCCCTGAGAAGCCATCCAGGGCCCCCTACCACCAAAACTAAAAAACGCAACATCGATTTCCGATCGGCTTCCCCGTCCAAGGTGGTTCCAAGAGTGCCTCGAAGACTGCCAGGGTGGCCCTGGACACCTTCCAATAATATTCCACGACGCCCAGCCAAGATGGCCACATATGCCAACAGGAGGGCCCACGATGGGCTCAAGATGGCCCGCGAGGCCGCAAATGAGCCTCAAGAAGGCTCCAAGAGGCCTCCCAGGCCTCCCAAAGATGTCAACATCATAGGGTTTCGATTCTTGTGTACATGAATTTCGTGTTGTCGTCTTTTCTGGTTTCCAACAGCCCGAGATGGCCTCAGAGGCCTCCAACATAGCCCCGACGGCTTCACAGCTACAAAACGGGCCACGAGACGGCCAAAGAGGCCCCCAAGACGGCCCCAAGAGGGCCCACAAGGCAACCCGATTGACCCCAAAGAGGTGGTGCTACAGCGCCTCGCGGCCCAATGCCCTTCAGGACGGCATCCGAATGCGTCGGACGGGCCAACAGAGCCCTAAGACGGCCCAAGAGGCTCAAACTTAACCGCCAAGCGGCCCCCCAAAGGCCCAACAGGTGCCATCAGAAAGCTTCCACCCACGAGCCCCCGACAAACCTCCTCCTCCTCCTCCTCTCTTCCTCTTCCTCCTCCTCTCCCTCCTCCTTCTCTTCCTTCTCGTCTCCTCCCTTCCGACGTGTGCGCTTGCCCGCGTAATCATTTCCAAACGCCAGGGGGCGGCGGTGCTTCGCCGCTGGCATGTTCGATGACACTCGCTCCGTGCCCAATTGTACGCACTTCCGCGCCGTCCCTCCCGACTCCCGTCCGCCGGCCTGTCCAGGCCCTCCGCTGGCTTCCGCCGAGGGCGAGGGGTCACCGCCATCGCTCTTCGATGGCGAGACCCACCACGAGGGGGAAACGCGCACTCAGAGAAACGAGTTCTGGGACGGACCCCCCTGGGACGGGCTTGTCTTCCCAAGCAGTTTTCTGGCGGCCCTCGGCCCCGGCGCGTGCAACGCTTTCCCTTTGCTTGGCTGCGAGAACTTCTGCACGTCCTGCTCACCATCCTCCTTCTGCTCCTGCTCTTCCTGCCCCTCCTCCGTCACCCTCCTTCCTCCCCCTTCCGCCCTCCTCCTCCTCCTTCCCCCCTTGGGGGCTGTGGACACGTGAGAACGCATGTTGCCCCCCTCCGCGCACGAATTTCCAGATGCCGAATATCCGACGTGCCCGAATTGGTCCCCCCTCGGAGGCCGTGCACACTTGAAAATA